CTTTGTTATGTTGAAAAGTGCTAAGAATCAGTTTTTTATTCAAAAAGCAAAAAATTGCACTAAGAAAAAATTTTCGGTCATTTTAATACACTACAGGTACAGTAGAGAGCGCCTTCTAGCGGCTACAGTAAAACTATGCCCATGGTTCGTTTTGTCATACTAAAAAACCCTTGTATACCAATTTTCACTATTATACATCAAATATTGTTCGAAATATTGAAAAAAAACTATTTCAGAAAGTAAATTTAAACACCCTGTATTTCGGAAGCCACGCATTTTTCGACCCATGTTTATATAGACTTTATGCATTAATTTTAAAAGTTCTATCGAATCTTAAAGTTATGCAACAATAAACTGAAACACCCTGTAGAGCTACTAATTACCAATTATAGCTTTGCCTTTTGCAAACATTTGCGGTAGTTTGGTACTTGGAATCTCTATTTTCGGTAATGATTGTTTGCAGAAACTGCGTCTCTTTGCGTAGGTTCTGCTAAATTGATTCCAGGAAGCTTTCGGTATGTTAAAGTTAAAATCAAATTAAACTATATAGCTTAAACGGGCTTGCCCGAATCGTGGCATTTACGATCACATCTATGGACATTCCTTGGGGGTTGAGTGCCATTTGAGAAACGATCTCTGCTTGGTGTTAAACAAACCCTTCTTTGCTGAACGTTAACGGGAGGATTTAGCATGAGCATTTCACAGTACTGTAACAGTTTCCAACATTTGGAACATTTTCAAGCTATCAAACTTGCACATTTTTGACATTTTCAAAATTTTCTAATATCATCATTGGATTCTCAGAATTTTCCACACTTTCAAAACGTTTAACATTCAGAAGACGTTCAAAATTAATTATTATAATGATAATTATAATCGTCTTTATTGGAAATATGCCATACAAATAGGTCTGTATAAAACGGGTGATTTTTTAAGAGGTATAGGATTTGATTTTCAAAAAAAACACAAAAAATTTGAAAAAACGATTAAATCTTTATTTAAGTCGATAGAACGGTCGATATAATTTAATGTTTAAAGATAATTTCATGTAAATGGCCGCGGCTCCGCTTTAGATGGCCCATGCGCAAGGTGAAATTTTGGCACACACTCTCCAACATATCGGCCGGTATCTCACGAATAAATGCTTCAATATTGGCTTCCAGTGCGTCAATCGTTGCTGGTTTATCCCTGTAGACATTAGCCTTAACATGGCCCCACAACGGCGTTAAATCACATGATCTAGGCGGCCAATTGAGGGGCCCCAAACGTGAGATAAACTCTTCACCGAACACGCCTCTCAATGAGGCCATTGTTTCGTGTGCGGTGTGGCATGTGGCACCGTCTTGTTGAAACCACATGTCAGACAAGTCCAGCTCTTCCATTTTGGGCAAAAAAAAGTTTGTTATCATCACACGGTAGCGCTCGCCATTCACAGTTACGTTCCGGCCATTGTGGTCTTTGCTTGTTAATGTACCCATTCAACCAGAAATGTGGATCTTCCTCCAACTTTGCCAGCGCCAATTCAACAAATTCGAAATGTTGTGGGTGGTCGTGTGGCTTCAATTCTTGCACCAGCTGTATCTCATAAGGTTTTACACCCAAATCCTGTCGCAAAATTTTCCACGTAGTGGAGTAACAGAGGCCCAATTGCTGCGAACGGCGGCGAATCGACATTTCACGGTCATCACTAACACTGGCGGATACAGCCGCAATATTTTCTTCAGTCCTCACTCTACGTCTGCGTGTTGGTGGTTTAATGTCCAATAATGTAAAATGGGTTCGAAATTTAGTCACAAGCTTCCGAATAGTTCCCTCAGTAGGCCGACCAAATTGCCCATAAATTGGAAGCAGTGCTCGATGCACTCTCTTAACCGAGCATGAATTTTGATAGTAAAATTCAATAATTTGCAAGCGTTGTTCGTTCGTAAGTCGATTCATGGTTAAATTATAGACCAAACTGAACAAGTTTGACAATGACACAAGACACGATTCACGCGTCATCTGTCAAAAATAGTGTTGCCAAAAAGAAACTAGCAAAAAAGTCACCCATTACTTACACTATGTAAAAGAACGTTGATACGGAAAAGTGGCATGACTTGAAGGCGTTATCATATTCTTATTTCTGACATCGACATCATGTGATTGAACCCTCAATTTGACCTTGTTAAACAAGTACAATGGCGTATAGCTCACCATTACTTTGTGGTATTGTGTCAGACAGTGAATTACCCGGCGCCAGAACATTTTCAGCCATTCAATTCCTTTTACTTTAATAATGATGTCCTCTTCTCTCAGAACCCCACAAATAAGACGCACACATGAATTTTGCATAAGCTGAAATCGATCACTGTCAGCTTTAGTGACACAAGAATGATATACAACATCACAATGATTAAAAACGGAAAGGACTAAAGAATCCCGTGGAACATGTTTCCAATTGAGACTGTATATACTTCTTTGACCATAAGTAAGCTTTAATTTTGGAAATGATGCTCTAATTTTAATCGACCGTGAAAGCGAAACTCAGTGTCAATTTATTTGATTCAAAAGATTTCTAAAATTTAGAAAATCCCTGGTGTCCACTGCTAGCCTACCATAAAATGCAGATGTTGAATTCTCCAAGAAATAATTGTTTGTTTGTAATCCCAGGCGAGATCAGTCCTCACATTACACTCGATCATCAAGTAACGCCTACAAATGTGACCCTTGGGCTCGATTTTACTATTTTCCCGCGGGGATCAAAATGTGCTCTCAAAGTAGCCCAATCAGACGGCATTTTTGAAAAATAATATTTTTATAGAGTGCCCAAAATCGATATTATTTTTGTTTTTAGTTTTACAATATGAATACTCCAATTCAAATTTGGATCAATGTTTAGACCAGGGAATTTAATATTGCTGGCATGTTGACTTAATTTCGTCGAAAGTTTCAGGTCCCCATATTGTTTGTATATGTGTTTATGAGTCACTATTATATAAAAGGATTTTTTTGAAATCAATTTATTAACATACAGCCAGTCCAGAAGTCTACGTCCATACATGATTTGATCAATATTTGAAAAAAGTGCATTATTGTAGTATTATCTGCTTATAAATTGATATCTCGTTCCAAAGGCAGTAAAAGAACTGTATTGACATAGATCAGGTGTTGCAATGGCCCCAAAACCGATCCCTGCGAAACTTCATAAGTGACTTTTCTAGAGGTACTTCCATTACCATTAGTACGAGCCCCTTCCCACTTCAGTTGGCCCAACTATTAAGATCTTAGTTTTTTCTTATCAAACACAAATAAAAAAAATGTAGCAGCTTGTTATAGGTTTAAAATATCAACAATGAATATTTTGATGATATATAGTAGAAAACACCAACTTTATCACCCGCTAATCGAATTTGCAGCATAAAAATAACACATGTTGCAATTACAGCATATCAACCTATTTTCATTTCAATGCAAAATAAGTCTATAACGCATAGGTGGCTGTGAAAAATAAAAGCGATGACAACTGTTTTTATTAATCACAGCTGTCAGAATACGTTTAAAATAGTTTTGGGTAGTTAAGGTTTTCAAAATGGGTAGAGGAAAGGTTATTAGTGAGAAAATTCGGTTACTGATAATTAAATTCTGGGAAATCAAACTCAGAAATTGCAACTTTGTTAGACTTATCGCGGTACAGTGTGAGAAATATTGTTAGAAGATATAACGTAACTGGTTCAGTTAATATTAACCGAAGAGCATTAAGAAGAATAATCGTGAAAAACAGGCGTGCCAATTATTTACAATTAAGTGCTCTGTGGAGTGACGCTGTTGGAAGGAGAATTTCGAGGTCCACAACTCATAGAGAGGCCTACAAACTGAGATTTAGCACTTGCAAAGTAAGTTTTCTTATAACAAAGGTGAAGTAAAAACCCTAAAGTTGCACAACCTTTTTATAGGCCAAAGAAAAGCCACTATTAACTCCACTGCAAAGAGAAAATCGGCTTAGATGGGCTAAAGAACATAGACAATGGACACCTCAACAATGGTGTGCAATACAATGGAGTGATGAGGCCCGATTCGAAGTTTGTGTTGGTGACAGTCGCAGTAGAGTTATTCGCAAACAAAATGCAGCATTCCATGTTGACTGTCTGAAGAGAAAAGTGAAATTTCCAGCATCCATTATGGTCTGGGGCAGTATGTCATCAAAAGCAGTAGGAAAACTTAATTTTATTGATGTAAATGTGGATACAAACAAAAATTTGGCAATTTTAGAAGGATCGCTTTTACCAGTGATGGAAGAATGTTTGACATCCGGCCAAGATTTTCAGTTTCAGCAAGATGGTGCAGCGTGCCATACCTCAAAAAAGGCTATAAAATGGATGGAAGAAAATAATGTACCACTTTTAAAATGGGTTTCTAGCAGTCCAGATCTGTCACCTATTGAAACTTTGTGGCATGAGATGAAAAAGGTTCTACGACAATGTCGTGCTCGCACAATCACCGAACTGAGACAAAAGCTTCAAGAAATATGGAATTGTTTTACCCCAAATTTTTGCCAAAACTTGGTTAACACTATGCCCCAAAGAATTTCAGCCGTAATAAAAGATAAAGGTGATATTACCCAATGGTAATCTTTCAATTGTTGCTTTGATAACTTCGCGCATTTATTCGCACATTGTTTATTTGTTCAGATGTTCTATTAGTTATAGGCCTAAGCGATTTCAAATATGTATTTTTTACGACTAGAGTGTATCTAAAATGTTTTTGAGAAAATAAATTGTTTTAGAAGTAAATAGTTTCGTCATGTTTAGTTTATAAAGGCATATTTTGTACAAATCTTGAAGTGCGCCAACTGAAGTGGGAAGGGGCTCGTAGATAGAAAGTGATACCTACCTTGAAAATAACGTCTAAACTTCTTCACGGAATTGCCTTTTATACCTTCTTGGTACAACTTGTATCTAACACCTATTTAACATATATTTGATCGCTGCAATTATCTGTAGAACAACCGTGTATTTCAGGTTTTACCGGTTCATAATTACCTTGAGATTATCAGGGAGTTCTGTTCTTCCTGCATATCCGGGATTCATCGTGATGAAAACAGCACAAGACTCCTTCAAGACTATTTCTGACCCTTCAAAGAATACCGTGTCCAATCGAGCTTGTTGCGCTTTCTGGATCGTCGCTATTTGTTGAGCAACCTATTTCAATAACACAAAAGCTCTAAGTTGCTGACTCCATAGAGAAAAGCAAATAGCTGAATGGAAGACAGCTATATGATGGCCCAGATTTCCATCCAATTTTGTATCTTAATCTTTATGGAAAATTGACGATTATCTATGGGTCAAAACTAAAATTTCCGCGCGAACTTGAACCTTCTTGATTACGATTCCCGTCACTTTTCGTGCTTGGCTGTTGATAAGAGCCTTATCTTGTAGAAATATCCATTGAAAGTAGTCTAGAGCCATAAAACCGGGTAATCTTGGGGTCAGATGACCTGGCCTAGTTGAGGGGATCAAAGTCCAGAGGTTTACAGATCAGGTTCGGAAAAAAGCTTTTAAATGTGTCTACTTTTTGTGGCGAATTTTAAAAAATAAGGTTTATGACCAAGCATATAGGAGCAAAATTTGGAAACGTGTTCAAAATATTATTCCCAAAACCCGAAGCCAACCAAAAAGTGATCAAAAATATCATCATAAGGCCTCTGCCGCTGACAGATAATTACTAACTTTCCATAAAAAAATTAAGATAAGAAATGAATCTATTCTATTCCATTTATAACTATACTTACTACAGAAAGCACTTCGATATCTATCCTGTTGAACTCATCAAAACATGCCCAAGCTCCTGAACTAGCAAGTCCTTTGAAAAATTTCCCCATCGCCATGAAATCTAGCTGGTCCGAGCAATTGAACACGACACATTGTATAGCCATGGCTTTCGCTAAGTCCTTTGTTGTCTCCGTTTTTCCGGTGCCTGTTAGAACAAAGACATCATTTTCAAAACTAGAGCTTTAAGTTGAGTAAGTTTGTTATTTTGTCGGCTAGTTATCCACAAAGTAGGTAAATTCAAAGAAAACGTGTTGGTACGGCTTCAGTATTTGAGAAAAAGGATGGATCAAGGCTATTTAAAAGACTCAAATGGAATAGAAGCTTGAATAAAAATAATGTAACGCTTGTAACTTATCTTGTGGTGATTTGTATATATATGAGTATGTGGCTTCATTTGCCCAGACAATCATAAAGTCCTTTCCAAAAATGAACAGGATCAATGATCAATGCGTGCAGGCTTTGTTACCAGAAGACTATTCTCGCAGACTAACATTCTGTCAGTGGTTTTTGCATAAAAACATCCTAGCGACGGACGAATGTACTTTTACGCGAGATGGGATATTAAATTTCCATAATACTCACACGTGGGTCCAATAAAATCCTCATAACATTCGTGAAGGCCATTTGCAACAACGTTTTAAAATAAATATTTTGCGGGTATTTTTGACGATCAGGTAATTGGCCCTTTCGAGTTACCCCCAAAGTTGTCAGGAGAAGGATTTCTTAGCTTTCTAGCTCATAACCTACCAGAACTTTTGGAACAGACCTTAGACAACATGCCATTAGAACGGAGACAGAATTTGTGGTTTCATCATGACAGGGCACCGCCACCACACATTTTTAGAGGCGTCATTTAAAATTTGAATGAACATTAACCAAATCGCTGGATTTGGAAATTTGAATGCGGCTGAAATAATAAATGGACAACTTCGATGACCTAGAGTAAGAAGAAGATGGGTTCGTCGTAATGAAGCTTGTGTGGAAAGTGGAGGACGACATTTTGAACACCTTCTTTAAATACAAAAAAAGTGGGGGTTTTAAAAAGAAAAACAATGTATGTATCAAAATTGTGTTCCATATTTATAAGTGGATTGTTTAATACGTTCAATAAACTTTCACACATCAGGTGAAGCGCTGAGACAGTTAGTGGTAAGTCCGTTTTATTTTTTTTTTGTTGTTTGCATTTTACGAGTACATTATCAAATAATGAAATAACACCTAAGAGCAAAAAACAACAAACTCCATCTTTATTTACACTGCTTCCGTCGTAATTTGCGTCTGGCACTGCGGCGTTGACAGATTTTATTTTACTTTAAAGTCGCTTTTCTCTAAAAAGATGCCTCTTTGACCCCCATGTTATATGAAACTTTTTGCTTCTTTTAAACCCATCTACCACCATTTAAATAATGACTATCATAACGTTTCCACCATGTATAATAATAACTCTGTATCAAAATCTCTCAAAACAATCATAAAATTGAGTCTACTAGGTGATTCTTCAAGGTGGCTTAGCCCTATAACTTTTTTATTATTGAAGATACAAAAACGAAACTTGGGGGTTAAGTATTACAGATGAACATTTTTTAATATATTCACTTGCTTTGACGTACTTTGGGTTTGACCGGAAACGACTCCAATTTTCGATTTTTGAATGGGACACCCTATATGTATATTTTAACTTATTTCGACCGAGGATGACATTCTGAAATGAACAACGCCTTACTATCGATTTCAAGGTTCAGTATTCAACTTATTACAAAGTTATTTAATCAATAGAAGTCAAAGAACTAAAATTTGCAATACATTATCAAACATTAAAATCATTTCGGTAGGTGTGCCACAGGGTAGCAAATTAGGTCCATTACTATTTATTTTATATATTAACGATATTCCTGATATTTTACAACCCTGCAAAATTCAACTGTTCTCTGATGATACATTAATATAATATATATATATATATATATATATATATATATATATATATATATATATATATAGGGTGACTTCGAAGTTGACTCATTTATTTTAACAGTGAGTAGATCTGATCAAAAGAAATGTTTTTTTCCTTTACCATTTTTCTGGTAAAATTAAAGTAACAAAGTTATAGCCCTCTGGAAGTTTGAGTACCGTCCTGTCTCAATAATAACATTATGTGCTCGTGTTTGGCGACAACGGATATAATCCGCCGTATCGATTCATCACATCGGAAACAAAAAAGCGAAAGAATTTGGAACGATGTTTTTACAATTATTTTATTCATTTGTATACAGTCAGTGTCAGTGAATAGTAGTGTCTGTTGCGTGGCTCAAACGAAATAAAAAATGGCACATCGGATCGGTTTCCCAATCGAGTGCAACCAACCCCTCGTGCCTTTGTTAATGTAGTACAACGGGCTCGTGAATCAGGTGACTTAAGACCACACAGGGGACTGCATGCCGTTGCTCCAAGACCTCACGATCAAATACAGGTCCGCACTGAAATACTTGTCGGGAGGATACTTTATAAAACAAGGTAAAAAATTTTTTTAATTTTTTTTTATTTTTACACACATATTTTGGTTTATCTTCCTTCTACAATCATTATCTGAAAATTAATGACTCAACTTCAAAGTCACAGTTGAGTCATTTATTTTAACAGTGAGTAGATCTGATCAAAAGAAATGTTTTTTTCCTTTACCATTTTTCTGGTAAAATTAAAGTAACAAAGTTATAGCCCTTTGGAAGTTTGAGTACCGCCCTGTCTCAATAATAATATTATGTGCTCGTGTTTGGCAACAACGGATATAATCCGCCTTATCGGTTCATCGCATCGGAAACAAAAAAGCGAAAGAATTTGGAACGATGATTTACAATTATTTTATTCAGTTGTATACAGTCAGTGTCAGTCGGTAACGCGTGAGTGAATAGTGGTGTCTGTTGCATGGCTCAAACGAAATAAAAAATGGCACATGTTTATGCGGATCGGTTTCCCAATCGAGTGCAACCAACCCCTCGTGCCTTTGTGAATGTAGTACAACGGGCTCGTGAATCAGGTGACTTAAGACCTCACAGGGGACGGCATGCCGGTGCTCCAAGACCTCACGATCAAATACAGGTCCGCACTGAAATACTTGTCGGGAGGATACTTTATAAAACAAGGTAAAATTTTTTTTTATTTTTTTTTAATTTTTACACACATATTTTGGTCCTTCTACAATCATTATCTGAAAATTAATGACTCAACTTCAAAGTCACCCTGTATATATATATGAGCAGTAGTCATTGCCGAAGCCAACGACCATTTGGGCACAAAATACAATTAATTGTTAATTGGGAAATTGGCAAATTTTTAGGCTTAAGTTGACTCTTTTGACGAAGTAGGAGGTTAGAGACTGCATTCCGATTGTTTCCCTAAAATGTCTTCTCATGTTTAACAATTTTTAATATGTTCGGGTGTATTGATATTTTTAACATGGAACGAAGGTATCTGTCGTTATCAACAAGCTCAATGTCTCCGTCCTTTTATTTTTATATTTATAACAAGTTCTATCTTCTCTACGTTCGTTTTGAAAGACCTTGTGGCTGCAACCTCAACGACGAAATCCTGATGAAGGCTCCATAGAGAATGCCGAAAGCTTGATTTTATCGCCAAAAGACACAACTTAAGCCCAAAAATTTGCCTATATATATATATATATCAAATAAAGACATTGAAACTGCAATAGAGCTGGTAAATAATGATATGAAAAACGTAATAAATTGGTTAAATGTAAATAAACTTAAACTAAACACAAACAAAACAAAATATATGCTAATAGGAAAATCTTACAATTAATCATGAAACAAATGTGATAATCGAATCATTTAAATATTATATTATAAATATTAAATACTTTTATAGAATTTTGCATAGTCTAAGAGTTCTGATTCTCATTCTTCCTCAAAATTACAAATATTACAAAATAAAGCTATGAGAATCATCTTAAATAAAAATAAATAAAGTAGAATAAATTTTATGCTGAAAGAACAACAATAGTTAAATATCAAAAATTTCATAGCCTACTTGGTTTTAATTTTCATGTTCAAGTTAAAAAATGATCTTCTACCAAATCACTTAGAAAATTTTATTGTATTGAACAACGAATGCCACAATTATTCTACTAGAGGAAGTATACAAAACTGCAGTAGCAATATAACGAGCAAGTCAGTATTTCAAAAGGGATTGTACGAATTTAATAAATTAAGTAATGATGTCAAGATGTGTGTCAGTTTGAAAATGTTCAAAGGGAAATTGAAAAAATATCTCATGGAAAACCAGAATTCATAGTAGTGAAATTTTGTATGAAAATATGTAGTCTTGAAGACATAATATATTTTGTGATATACTGTGTAATATGGATATTATGGATATTGTAGCATTAATGCTTAATAAATCTGAAACAAACAAACAAACTTATCAATATTTGACAAATAAAATCATTTTTATTTCAATTTTTGTTTTTCGATCTAGAATGCCATGGATCCTGTAAATCGAATCATTTTTGATCAAGCGGGATTACACGGGAAAAATACGATTTTCAGACGAACGACCTTACAGTCGTTTTAAAGATTTTATTAAAGTTACAAACACTAATTCTTTCAGCTTAATTGATTTTTTCAAATAAAAATGGGGTGGCTCGTCGGCTTTTTCTAAGTGACCACTTTCTTATGAATAATTTGACACTACATACTCTTATTTTATTTTCACTATTTTTCCGAATAATTGTAAGAAACGGTCATACCTAACAACAAATAATACGTGTCTGCATTCGGTATACCTATACACCAAGTCCTATCATTCTAGTTATCCGTGACAAACAATTGGCATAGTAATAATCCTGTGGAAAAATTTCATCCAAATCCGAGTGGTACTTTCTAAGTTATAAAGAGGCCAAGGATTAGCGAGCACACAGACTGACAGACAGACCGACGAAGATGAGTGACGTGGTTTTTTGTGATGTACATGTAAAAAAGAAAATCTTCTACCAGAAGCAATATTATTGTTTATTGGCTACAGTATATTCAGATAAGAGATAGACCGGACATAAACAAGACCACGTGATCATCGAACGCTGTAACATTCGGCAGGGACGTATTAAGAGTCACGCAGTACATATTTTAGATAGTAGATGCTGCTTTGCGTAACTTTGTAGTAAATTAGCACAATTCGATGTGTATACGATTGGATGAATTTTTGTTAAATAATCCCTCCTCCATAGCACAATTTCTTCTCTATCCAGTAGTAAACTATTACGACCCCGTTTTTTCCATTTGAAATTTAAATGCTTCAGTAACGCATGGAAAGTTGATCGTTTGAAATTTGGCAACGTTGTATCTCCATTTACCTCCTGCAGTACTTTATCTATAGTAGGTATTTCATTCCTAAAGAAGAATTCATGCACTTTCCTCCTAATCGCATGCTTATCAGCTTCATCCAATGATTTAACAATACTTTTGCGATGTTTACTGGTCATTGGCTCAGAAAAGGTGTGATTTTTTTTTGTATTGTCTTAACACATTAAACACTGATGCGCGACACACCCCAACTTTGTGAGAAACCTTCACAACAATTTCTTTGATGGTTGATGCCTCGTTCCCCTCGCGCTCGATCTTATATATATTCAAAATGACCTCTTTCATTTCTGCACTCAGGTGTCTTTTTTTAGAGCGTTTCCTAGGTGGACTACAGGAGTTTACAACTTCATCGGCAGTATCTGTACTACTGGGCATTTTGCGCAAGCAGTTGATAACAATAACAATCAATAACAAGGTATAACAATAACAACGACAAACTCAACAACCTAATAAGATAACAAACGAAAACGTCCAAAGAAATATCAAATTGCAATGATGCACACGACATACGTAACACGTCTGAACCTGAATGTGACTCTGCCTTGATACGACTGCTCTGCCGCTCGGCATAGGCATTTAATTGCGAATTGACCAATGAGGACTCCTGTTTTGCGTCGAGACGGCGGCGTTAGCGTGAAAATCACCCGAACCTTTTGTTTACATCCGGTCTATCTCTTATCTGAATATACTGTAGATCCTCAAAGCTATCACTCCATAACAATGTCATGAAATATGATCAGATCTTAAAGCCTGCGTGGTTTTGTGGTTGTAAAATACAGGTATAGGACTGCTCCAAGAATTCCAACAGTTCCAAAATAAAGTTCTAAAGAACATGGTCAATGTCCCTTGTCTTGGTTGTAATAGGAATGTACATCGCGACTTGACGGTCCTCCTAGTTATCGACGAAAAGCTGCATCAAGACCCCATTGCAGTCGTCAGCTGTTGGACTGCAGAGCGTGTACGCGAGTTCTTATTGACTACGAGGCATGTCTTTTAAGTTTTGCAAATGGAAATAAAACGAAGATTAATACACATCTGCATGCGCTCGAACCACTTTCGAATCACTTATTCCACTCGTTTGCTGGCAGATCCAAAACGGCATTTTTGAATGCGTCAACTGCTTCTTCTGGTGTCTGGAACCGTTGACCACGCAGTCTAATTTTAATTTTCGGGAAAGTAAAGAAATCGTTAGGACTTAGATCGGGACTATATGGAGGATGGTCCAATAATTCCACGTTTTCTTCCGTTAAATACTGTATGGTTTTTGGGCTGTGTGCGAGCTTGCATTGTCTGAGTGGAGGATGACTCTTCTTTCGAGGTTGATTTTTCGATGCTCGGTGATGACTTTTGGCAAACAAATGGTAGTACACCAATCCGCAGTAACAGTTCTTTGCTCATTAAGAGGAATTGTTGCAATATGATCTGCTTTTGACACAAATGTCGCGACCACCTTTTTCCAAACACTTCGAGAACGGATTACTTTTGTTGGCTTTTCTTCATTTTGGTACACCCAAACAGCCGACTGTCGTTTATTTTCTGGTTCATAACAGTAAATCCACGATTCGTTATCACTAACAATGCTGTACACATTTTTTGAGTTTCCGGAATTGAAACGGTCAAGCGTTTTTTGACACCGATTAACCCTGGCTGCTTTCTGCTCTTCAGTCAACAAGTGGGGTATCCAACAAGAAACTTATTTTCTTACTCCTAATTCTTCATGTAAAATTTTTGAATTGAGGCCTTTGAGATCTTCAAGGACGCCTCTATCTCGTGATATGTCACATGTCTATCTTTAAAGATGAGTTTGCGCACAGCATCGACGTTTTCTTGGGTGCCTGCCGTTTTTGGTGCACCCACCCTGGGATCGTCGCTAAGACTCACCACGTTTGAATTCTCCATACCAACGGGAAATTGTCGACTGATGTGGCGCTTCGTTGCCGAAAACAGACAGTAACTCAGCAAGGCATTCTTCATGCGATAATTGTCTCTGAAAGTTGTAATTAATTATGGCGCGAAAATGTTCTCGGTTGAGTTCCATTTTTCTAATAGCTTGGCGACACTTAAAAATTCACTGTAGTGGGAACACTGCACTGCACGTATTGTTGTGAAACTTTGAATTTAAGTTTACTAAAGAGTGAGGTTAAGATTCAGTACTGACGTTCGATCCGCGCGGCCTACTATGTTTCTATATGCAAAACTTAAAAGAATAAAAGACATCCGTCGTATATGTTAAGATTATCTAGAAGACATCACAATGGTTTGCGTATATTGATAAGTATCAGTTTGTCAGAAAACGCAGGAAAACCAACAGTTAATTGAATTGACCCTCAAAAAACAAAACAATACTACTACTCAGTTGTATACCTGCAGGTCCAGCCGGGGCTCCTCCAAACTTCAAGTGCAAAGCCCCTGTCAGAGTCAAATAACACCTATCTGTCAATGGAGTGATCACCAAACGTCCGCTGTTGCCCAGATATTCGTATCCGTACTGGAATTCTGCATTCACTGCCCTCACTTTCATCTGTTCTTCGGTGGTCCAGTAGTAACTAAGAAAACAATACTGTTGCTTTTTGAAATAATAGATATACAGGGTGTTTCAGTTTATTGTTGCATAACTTTAAGATTCGATAGAACTTTTGAAATTAATGCTTAAAGTCTATATAAACATGGGTCGAAAAATGAGGGGCTTCCGAAATACAGGGTGTTTAAATTTACTTTCTAAAATAGTTTTTTTTTAATATTTCTAACAATATTTGATGTATAACAGTGAAAATTGGTTTTTTGGTACGACAAAACGAACCATAGACATAGTTTTACTGTAGCCGCTAGAGGGCGCTCTCTACTGTACCTGTAGTATATTAAAATGACCGACAAAATTTTCTTAGTGCAATTTTTTGCTTTTTGAATAAAAAAAAATGATTCTTCGCACTTTTCAACATAAAAAAGCTCTCTTGTGAATTTTCGTTATAGTTAGCCGTTTTTGAGATATTTCGATTTTTAAGGTTCGATGCATTTTAAATTATTTAAGATAAAATAACGTTAAAAAGTCAGTATCTCGATAATTTTTAGAAGTAGGCTGTGCATGCAAATATTTTTGAAATTGAAAGCAGAATAAGGTTAAACGTCAATTAGTTGACAGTTAGTTTTGTTGTCTGTTGAAACCTGAAACGTTTTTTTGCAATTATGAATGCACGAAATTTAGTTTCTTTTACCAGTTTCTTTTTGTAAGTTTTATAAAAATGACATTTTTATTCTCCAATCAAGAGTTAGCGGATATTCCTTTGTGTATGGCTTTGTAAATGGAAACGCAGCAGAAGCAGCCAGAGAATACGCACGAAGATTTCCGACAGACGACATCCAACTCGCTCAGTATTTGTAAGAGTGCATCGCCAAATAATTGAAAATGGTTTTATAAATCTCCAAAGGGATCAAAACATAAATGTTCGTCAGTGCAGATGTACCCGTATGACTCTGCGTGAGTTTGATAGAGATCCGACCACAAGTGTTAGAAGAGTTTCTGGTGCCTTGGGAATTTCAGCAAGCCATGTTCACCGTGTTCTTAGAAATGACCATAGACGTCCTTACCATTTGCAACCTGTGCAAGGACTACAGCCAGGGGACGGAGAACGAAGAATCACATTTTGTCAGTGGATTCTTGATAGAACTGATAATAATAGGGAGTTTTTAAGTAACGTTTTATGGACCGATGAGTCATGCTTCACTAGACGTGGAGTGGTAAATTTTCATAATCAACATATTTGGTCGCATGAAAATCCGCATGCAGTTCGGGAAAGAAATTTTCTGCATGAATTTAGTGTGAACGTATGGATTGGTATCTACCGTAATCGACTATTTGGACCCTACCTTTTGCCTGCAAGGTTAAATGCTGCGACCTTCTTGGAATTTTTAAAGGCTGAACATGCAAATATGTGGGATGATGTTATGTTAGATTTAAGAAAATTGGCCTGGTTCCAGCTTGATGGTTGTCCAGCTCATTATTCGAGAATAGTTAGAAACTGGCTGGACGAAAATTATCCAGAAAGATGGATCGGCCGTGGAGGACCAGTCGCCTGGCCTCCACGATCCCCTGACCTAAATCCATTAGATTTCTTTGTGTGGGGATTTCTAAAATAAAAAGTGTACCAGACCCCCGTAACCACAAGAGATATGCTAATAGACAGAATCAGGAATGCATGTGATGAAATAATGCCTTATTTGAATAATGCTATACCACGTTCGATCATTCGTAGATGTGAATTGTGTATTGAACAATTGGGCAAACGAGCAACTACTTTAGATTTTGTATGTTTGTCCTAACTATCCAATAGCATTTTAGTTGTGAATAATTAATTTAATTTGTTAAAAATAATATTGGAAAATTAAACAAATTAATATTCTGTTTGTTTGTGTTTATTTGGAGTTAGGAATTATTGCTGTGTTTAAAAACACAATCTAAACGATCATCTTAATTACTTGTAATGCCCAAATCGAAAATGTAAAAAAAAATATTATTTTCCCATAAATAATTAAAAATGCATCGAACCTTAAAAATCGAAATATCTCAAAAACGGCTAACTATAACGAAAACCTACAATAGAGTTTTTATGCAGAAAAGTGCGAATAATCAGTATTATTATTCAAAAAGCAAAAAATTGCACTAAGAAAAAATTTTCGGTCATTTTAATACACTACAGGTACAATAGAGAGCGCCCTCTAGCGCCTACAGTAGAACTATGCCCATGGTTCGTTTTGTCGTACCAAAAAATCCTTGTATACCAATTTTCACTGTTACACATCAAATATTGTTCGAAATATTTAAAAAAAAACTATTTTAGAAAGTAAATTTAAACACCCTGTATTTCTGAAGCCACGCATTTTTCGACCCATGTTTTTATAGACTTTATGCATTAATTTTAAAAGTTCTATCGAATCTTAAAGTTATTCAACAATAAGCTGAAACACCCTGTATAGATAGATAATTATACTTTATTGTCTGAATGACAAGGCTAACTGGAAGATAAACTATAAAATTACATACGTGGTTCTTAAGTAAGTGAATTGTAGGACACACACAAAATATAATATAGTTTACATATTAAAAAAATTCAAGGTTTACGACGGAAATTCTTTAAAATGTTAATTCCTTTGATAGAATCAGGGAGACACTTGTAAATTTTCAGACCATTATAAATTTTTGAGTCTTCCACAAGTGTTGTTTTAGGTACTACATCTTGTTTTTGCTGTTTCTAAAATTACCAATGATACGACATTCATTATCTTAAGGTTTACAAATAAAGGCCTGCATGTAGCCCTGGGACTGCTTTTATGTGAATTTCTACCAGCTTGTTTTTTGTAAAATAAGCACCTTTTTTAAACATTTTTGGGAACAAACACCCCAAAAGGGGATGTTATATCTCAATCGTCTTCAAATAGGGTGTTATAGATAACAGTTCTTGATAATTTTTATAATTCACTTTGATGAGAAAGATACTGAAACTTGAAATTCAGTCTGAATTAAACGATGAGGGAAAGTATCGATAATGACAAAAAAATGGTGTCACTGGAGGTACATTAAAGCATTAAAAGGCATTGAATTTGTAATCTTGATGTCTAATTTGCTTTCGCACTTATCCATCGACCCTCAATTGACTTCAGATTCGTGTTCAACGAAAGAAAAAACATAGAATGAGACTCCCAGTACACACCACTTTTTATCTTTTTTGGACCTGTGATATGATTTTCATCGGTTTTATGCGTTTTATTGAAAATTTGTCTGTCGACCCCCAATTCGTGCTCAGCGAGCCAAAGGAGATGAGAAAAATATAGCGGCACCCAAAGCACGCATCACTCTTTTATTTTGTGGACTTATGTAATCAATATTGTTGATTTTCATATATATGGTGAATGAGGCACGTATCGAAAAGCGTTGTGCTTCCACCTCTTTTACACAAGACTTTTCCTAGAATATAAAACAGCGAGTGTGATGTCCCAACATTCCATTTTTAATAGTTAGTCGATAACGCAGAGCCTTTATTGAGGTACGAGGGATGTCTTTTAAGTTTTGCATATGGTAATAAAACAACACGGTAGGTAGTTTTAAATAACTTTATTGTTTTTCGAAGTATTCTCCACGAAGATTAATACACATCTGCATGCGCTCGAACCAATTTTCGAAGCACTTATTCCACTCGTTTGCTGGCAGACAGATCCAAAACGGCATATTTGAATGCGTCAACTGCTCCTTCTGGTGACTGGAACCTTTGACTACGCAGTCTGTTTTTAATTTTCAGGAAAGTAAAGAAATCGTTAGGATGGTCCAATAATTCCACGTTTTCTTCCGTTAAATACTGCCTTGTTTTTTGGGCAGTGTGCGAGCTTGCATTGTTTTGGTGAAGGATGATTCTTCTTTCGGGGTTGATTTTTCGAAGCTCGGAGATGACTTTTGGCAAACAAATGGTGGTATACCAATCCGCAGTAACAGTTCTTTACTCATTAAGAGGAATTGTTGCAATATGATCTGCTTTTGACACAAATGTCGCGACCACCTTTTTCGAAACACTTCGAGAACGGATTACTTTTGTTTTCTTCAGCCGACTGTCGTTTATTTTCTGGTTCATAATAGTAAATCCACGATTCATCACCACTAACAATGCTGTACACATTTTTTGAGTTTCCGGAATTGAAAAGGTCAAGCGTTTTTTGACACCAATTAACGCTGGCTGCTTTCTACTCTTCAGTCAACAGGTGGGATGTCCAACTAGAAACTAATTTTCTTACTCCTAATTCTTCATGTAAAATCTTTTTAATTGAGGTTTTTGAGATCTTCAAGGACGCCTCAATCTCGCGATATGTCACATGTCTATCTTCAATGATGGTGCACCCACCCTGGGATCGTCGCTAAGACTCACCGGTCCATGTTTGAATTCTCCATACCAACTGGAAATTGTCGACTGATGTGGCGCTTCGTTGCCGAAAACAGACAGTAACTCAGCAAGGCATTCTTGTTGCTATAATTATCTCTGAAAGTTGTAATAAATTATGGCGCGAAAATGTTCTCGGTTGAGTTCCATTTTTCTAATGACTTGGTGAAACTTTGAATGTAAGTTTACTAAAGAGTGAGGTTAAGATTCAGTACTGACCTTCTATCCGCGCGGCCTACTATATTTCTATATGCAAAACATAAAAGGCATCCCTCGTAGTTCTTTTGTATATACTGAAGCAGCTTTGAAGTAGAGCACGTTTTTGTACGGTGCTGCAATTTCCATTATGAACCTTGGATATTTACAGGTAAGCCTTTATAACTACATATTTTCTTAATTGTTCATTGCCAGTCATTATATTGCTAATTTCAAATATTGGCTAGCCACCAACTTATAAAACTAGGACACCCGTTTTTGTTAGACTTTGTCTAATATCTGAATATTCAAAGTACAGCAAAAGAGAATTTATTTAAGTGGAATTCAATAAAAAGTACTAATTTCCATACGCCATTTAGCACTTTATAGATAGCTCCAAAGGATTGTCGATTACA